CCATTTGCATTAGGACACAAGTTCCATCGAGATTCTTAATTTTTCCAGCCCCAATAATTTTCTTTTCTCTTTTTCTCTCTCATTTTCTCACCATCCAAACAGACTCAGAAAAATCTTGAATCCAAAAATCCCGTCGATCAAACAAATTAATTAAAATGCCCATAGAAATAGAAAAGAAAATACGTATATATTTACATATATACCTGATTATCGAACAAATTGCCAAGAGAGCGGGACTTAGAATCCACCTTGTCATCATCGCCGATCACCGCCGCTTCACCGTCGCCACCATTCTCCACTTTAGATTCAGCGACCGCTCCACCGCCGGCCGCCGCCTCCTCCTCAGGAGCAGGCTCCGGCGCCGGAGCCGGAGCCTCGCCGGAGTCAGTCTTCAGAACCTTCGGCTTAGTGGCACAAGCTCCCATCTTTCTCCCTCCGAATGAATGAAAGTAGTGAATCAGACAGAAAATGGGGTTAAATAATTTATAAAGAGGGATTTCGGCAATTTGGGATTGGGACAACGAAAAAGAGCAAAAACGAAAACAAAAACAATTATGAAAAAATTTATGCGTACATATGTGTTTATAATGTATTTATATAGTCACAGGCTGTAAATGGGGGGTTTGGGATATTCCCTTTTTTTTTTTATATATATATAATTATTATCATTGAATAAAATAGTTGAAATTAAAAAAATGGTTTTTATTTTTCTTGTTTTAATAAGAAGGTTGAGTTGAGGAGAACGAAGAGGGGCGGTTTGGGAATATTATGCCATTTTTGAGCAATGGGTTTGTTTGTTTGTTGTGTGTTATAATTATTAATATAGGTTACAGGTTGGCATATTGGAAATGGGCATCGCCACAATTATTTTGGGATGCGTAATTTTGTATGCTAAACTTTATGCAAAATCCCATTTTTCAATTACCCAAAAATCTCTCAAATATTTACACCAAAAGAAGTAAAAAGATTCAAAATATTTACTTTCCAACTCTATTTTTGTTTATGAAATTTATGGAGTATCAATTAAATTCCTAAATTATGAAATTTATATTAAATGCATATTTAGTGTTCAATGATATTTTGGTTGTGATGGGCTCATAAAAGCATGGAAGTAAAGTTTGTGGGCTGCTTATAATTAAAATCGTGGGCACCATTACCACATGATTTCCGTATATTTAATTCATCCAACAAACCATATTTAAAATATTTTGCTGAAACGGTTCATATAGAGGCTAATAGAATTTATTTGTGATAGACTAATATCAATCATCAATGATAGACACATAGCAATGATGGAGTGGTATATAAGTCTATAATGATACACTATTTTACTAGTAGGCTATCAATGATAGGTTCATATTAATTGGCTCGAGTATAGTTCAACTAGTTAAGGTATCATTTATGACTATAAGATTGTAAGTTTGAATCCTCACTTTCACGTGTTGTACTAAAAAAATGATAAGACCCATATTAAATAGTCTATCATTTACGTACGTGGCAAAACAAGTTATATATTAATTGCAAATACAGAAGCAACGCTCTAGATTTTCAAATAGAGCAAAAATAATAATAAAAAATTCAGCCCAAACCCCACTCATAAAAAAATACTGAAATAGTTTTGAAACATATATTTAGTGATAGACTCGTGTTGATAATAGAGTGGGATATTAGTGTATCCGTTATATACTACATCACTTGTATCATTGATAGACGTCGAGGCAGTTGTAAGAAAAAAGACGACCAACCCCACTCACAACAAAAAAAACTATTTATGACCTTGAAATAATGTCTATCAATTACAACAAACTATATCACCGATAGAGTCTATCAGTACTATGAGTCTACTATTGATAAATTATATTATATTATTGATTTATGCCTACTAGTGATAGACTCATATTGTTGATAGAGTCAATTAACAATTGTCTCGTATTGCTAATATATTCTCAATGATACAAGTCTATCAGTGATATACTATAAAACTCGTGTGTTTAGCAGTGATAGTCTCATATCACTAATAGCCTGATAAATGTAAATAAGTGATATACGAGACTGAAAAGAAAATTGTGTAAAACATCTTAATATGCGTGCAAAATATTTTAAACATTTCTCATATTTGACAGATTAAAATAGGGTTGGTATATGTGTAAGTATGGAAATGTGAATTGTATTGCAAATTTTCAAATTAATACCCATAGTTAAAGCAAATTCTTGTTTTCTTTTAATATAATTTTAATTTTAGGATTTGTGGTTGTGATAGGGTATTCTTGTAGTTAGATGAGTTTATTCTATGGATCTGAGATACAAATAAAAATTATAAATTTAGTCGGCAACCTGAGGATAGATCAACGAGTGCTTATTAGTGATCTTCCCAACCCTGCCCTATGGTTGATGGACTGAACAAAGATCGCAAATTTAGTTCCCAATCCATACAAACTTTACAATGAAATCCTATCATTACCTTACAATTTCAAATCCGGCCAGAAATAAATATTTCAAAATTAAATTCAATCAACACATAGTACAAAACAAGTCCTAAGCTCATCTCACTAATTTAAGAATTAATACAAGACTAAACGAATGTTTTTTTTTTTTACTACATAAACGAATGTAATTATAAACATATATATAAATTAAAATGAAACAAATAAAAGGACATACATCTTACAATCAAACACAAAAAGTGAAAAAGCTAAAAATGAAAAATTTACCCAAAAGGAAGCATTGAAATGACCCCCATTAACTCTGAAAAGCTTCCACAAAAGTCATAAAGTTCATTGACCACCATCGTATTTCACATTTCACAGAGCCTGAAATTCCAATCAACTATTTATCCCCCCTTTGTTTCTTCAACCATCACTTTGACTACCTCTTTCTTCACAATACTTTAACAAAACTTCAAAATGCATTTCTAAATTCAAAAAAATTTTCCAAGATTGATTACCCAAAAACAAAATAAATTGGTAATTGGCATTATGTAAGCATGAATTTGGAAACAAAAAAGACGAAAATCAAAATGCGTTCCAATTCCAGTAGCAGGGAGGAATGGAAAAATCGGTCAAGAACAGAGGAGAACAACAGAGGAAGAGATCATAAAGGCATAGATGAAGATCAAGAAGCCAAAATGCAGAGCCCAATTCCTCTTGAACTTACCCAAGTAGCTCTCCGGCGGCTCCTGGTAGTGAATCTCGAATTCGTCGTCGTCGGCGGCGGAGGAGGAGGTCTTGATCTCCCTGAGCTTCTGGGTGGCGAGGCCGAGAGTGAGCTTGTGGCAGCGGCGCTGGTACTTGAAGCCGTTGATGCAGCGGAGGGTGTGGGCGACGGAGACGTAGAAGCTGAGATGGGAAACGGAGAGGAGAGAAATTGGGATCCAGGAGTGGCGGCACTGGAGCCGAGGGGACAGGGACTGGGCCAGGAACATGAGGCCGAGGAAGATGAAGAACAGCTGGAACAGATTGTGGAGGTGCTTCTTCTGGAGATCTATGGCGCGTTTCTTCTCGAGGGTCTTCTCGAAATGGAGCTGGATTATGGTGTTCAGGGCCTGGAGGGCCGTGTCCTTGAAGATCGATGGGTGCTGCCGGGGCTGGCTCTCCAAATCAGCCATTGATGGGCACTCTTCGAGCAAACCAGAGCAGCTCTGTGCCAGGGTAGATGGATGGGAACTGGGAACTGGGAAGTGGCGAGTGAGAAATTTGGGGATTGGATGAATCCGTGAGCGAGTGGGGACTGCCGGATTTGGGGGTTTTTCTCAAGGACAATTTCAATCTTCAAACTTCCGTGTAATAATTAAATGTGTTGGTAATTTGGTGATATAATCCGATTTGGGGCTCTTCCCCGCAAAATGATATGAAATTGAAATTTATGGTATTTTTTTTTTTTGGAGTGATTTCAGAACCAGGGGTTTTGAAAAAAAGATATTCGAGTAGAATTGATTTTTAAAAATATCATTGGAGTATACTTTAAAAATTAATTTTAAGTGATTTTAAATTTTTCTAAAATTAATTTTCTAATTTGTTAAACATAATCCATAGAAAATGTCCCAAATGTACCTTAATTTATTTTTAATTACCTATTTACTTTATTTTTGCGGTCTACAAGACAACAATGTCTTTTTGATCAAGTATCTTACTTTTCTCCATCAAATTGATTTAGTGGATTAACTACTAAATCATGCTTAAAATTGCTTTTGTTAATTCAATATTGTACTTTTTTTTAGTATAAGTGGGGTGGAAGATTGAAACTCATGTTTTTTTTTATCACGGATAGGTATCAATTATTGGCGATTCAAAACTGAATTTTTATATATAATTTACGTCTAGAAATACTCCATCATTTTAAAATGAATTGGGAGCCCAATAGTGTGAAAATGAGATTTAAGGGTTTCACTCGTTAACACAAGTGGAGATGACCGATTCTTCATTACCAAACCAAGTTGGAAATGTGATAATTAAAGATCAAACTATCAAGATGAAATTGAAACCTCACTATACAGATCGAACAGTAATTTTTAATGGATCAAGTTAATTAAAACTAAATTCAAATTATAGAGCAAAATTGAAACAAAATTGAAACTACAGAGATCAAATTTGTAATTTAACCAAATTTTTTTTTCTTAAAGCATTTAACCAAATTTATTTAAACTATAATGATGTTAGTTAGGATGACTTTGAGTGTAATAATTGAACACCCAATAATGTAATATGTGAGTATTTCAAATATTTTTAATCAATAATAAACTAATGTAACTAACTACCTAAGTAGTAAGCTGTTAGTTACTAGAAAGGTAGTTAGTATTTAGTTAAGCACGAAACTAGCCGTTAACTAGCCGTTGAGCTGGTTTGTTAAGCTCCAAAGGTATATAAATACCTTGATGATCGTGTAAGGGATCATTAATTCTTTCTTAATACAAAACTTCATTTGATTTCCCATAAACTAATAGTATTTTAACAATATCATAAACTAATAGTATTTTAACAATATAATCGACTCATTTTTTACATTGAATTGAAAAGAGTAGTTTAAATGTACCAATATGAACGAGATGAATTCGAATCTCTATTTACCCATGACGTTATATTTAAAAATATATATAGTAGTTTAAGATATTGATAGGATAACTATTGCAAACTAATTATTTTCTACCAACCATGAGAGGAGGAAAATCAAGATATGTTAGGGACGAAAAAAGAAAATAAAAGAGGAGTGGATAAATAATAGGTTAAATTACTCATTTAGCCTATGTGATGCCAACAGTCCTAATTCCTTGTTTGGGGGTGGAGTTCGAACTCATGATCTTTTGCTCAGAGATCGGTGTCTTAACCATTTGAACTATGTTCGATTTGGCATAAAATAAAGGATTAGCACATTGATAACCTATTTATGAATCATAATTATATAAAAGGATTGAAATGTATAAAATTTATACTTTTGTCGTGAAACAACACTAATTAGGATGTTACCTATCAGACAAATTACTAATATATCCTTTTAAGGATCTACCTCAATATTAAATAATTTTTTAAATCTAAAAATTGTAAATTGGAAGGTTACAATTTAAATCCCTGTACTTAATTATAGTTTCCAAAATAAAAAAATCCCAAAAGCCCAAAAATCCTCAAAACCATTTATTTTCGAAACCCCTTTCTTCTTCCTCCGACCGTCCGTTCTTCTTCTCCGATCGTCCATCTCTGTCTGCCTTCCTCTCCAGCGGGCTCCGTTTTTCTCCGTCGCTTTTCTCCGTTTATCCCATTCGAGAGGAGATTTCCATCCTTCCTCCTTCTCCGGTCGATGTCTGCCCGCCTTCATCTCCAGTTGCCTCCATTTTTCTCCATCGCCAGAGCAGTTCGTCTTCGTTTATCCCGATTGAAAGGTTTGCATTCCAACGGTTGTTTTCGATTTCTGATTTCGTGTGAACTATTGTATATATGAGGATATATATTATTGTGAGTTTGATTAGGATATATCTTATAACTCAACTTGTATATATGCAGATATGCAGATATGCAGATATATATTATATGTAGGATCGAATGGCAACACTAGAGGGGGGTGAATAGGGTTGCTTACCACTTTTTGAAAATTAAAAATAAATTTAAAGTAATAAACAATTATGCAACCAATAAAAGAAGATTAACAAGAAGAGGAAACATTGAGCAAAATATTTAAGTAAACCTATATGCAATCTACCAAGATTCAAAGTAGGTAAATACTGAATTTAAAAGAGAGAAGAGAAGAGAGTGGTGACACGAGAAATTTTATAGTGGTTCGGAAATTCCTACTCCACTCCCCAAGACTCCTTCTTGGGTATTTTACTGCAGTGGCTCTCTTAATGGGTGAGAACCAAACCGATCGACMCTCTTTTTGTCCTAGGCTAAAGAGAAACCYAAAATCCTTTTTACTGGTTCAGGATCCAACCAATTTACTTTTCTCACAACCCAAGGTGCACCCACACCTTAATACAAAACCCAATTTGAAAATATAGAATTAAAAAACAAAGTAGATTACACAAATTTTGCACCAAAGTAATGGCTAAAAAGCCACACTCTAATGAATCTCTCACAAAAAAAATTGAGCAAGTTATGTGTAGGAGAGAATGAAGATTTTGCAAAAGTTGAGAGGAGAATTTGAAAACAAATGATTTTGATTTGATAGTTGGTGTGTAGAATGATGGAATTTGGTGGCTTTAAATAGAGTTTYTATGATRAATTTTGGYCATTGGATTTAGGGCAACAAAKRATGAATGGTATAGATTAAGATGTGAGGTAAGGAAATGAAATGAAAACATAATTATGGTGATTAAAAGAAATTGGTGGAGATTGAGAAATCATTGAGATTGTGAGTGATTGAGGAGATTGAGAGTGATTGAGGAGATTGAGAGAAATTGGTGGAAATTSATTTGTGGAGATTGAAAGCGCCACATGTCATCTTCTCATTTGTTCGATTGTTGGATGCCACGTCAGCATAAGTATGTCCTCTTGATGCCACATGTCAACTTCTAAGYGGTCCACTTGTCCATGTCACCCACCATSTAGGATTTGTCCACGTCAYCCACTACGTAGAATTTTTCTCCTAACTTGTTTTGACCATAACTTCTTCGTTTAAACTCCGATTTGAATGATTTGACAGACATTTGTTTTGTCTTTTCGAGCTCTACACTATGAACACTTTGAAACACTCAAATTGTTAGTTTATACTTTGTTTGTGATCATCAAAATATTTGATTTGATTGAAGCCATAAAGCTAACATTATAACGATTTTGAATGTATATATGCGGATATATAAGTGGATATATCTTATAACAAAACTTGTATATATGCGGATATGCGGATATATATACTATAGTGATTTTTGAATGTATATATGCGGATATATAAGTGGATCAATCTTGGAGTAAATTAAGGTTTTGAAGGAGTGAATTAAGGGATTTGTGTTGAAAATTAGTATGAGGCCCACAATAATTAAATGATTGTGATAATAATTTATGGAATTAAATATTTTATATTTAAAAAAAAACAAATACCTGTAATAATAAATGCAATAAATAAGGTAAAATCGGAATTAAAATAAAATCCTACGTGCAGAAGTCTAAAAGTGTAAAATTAGAAAATTTTAGACATTTGTGTAAATAAGTTTCTAAAACAGCCCTCCAAAGACATTAAAGGCTTAATTACTATTATGATCCATCTATTTTTACTTTAGACATTTTAGTATGTAATTTTAACTTTGGTTTATTTAAGTCATTATACTTTTAAAACTTCTATTTTCATTCTTATACTTTAAGAAAAAAAATGAATATGTTAGTCGTTTCATTTTCATTTTTATCTCATTTCTTTCAATTAAGTTGTAGCATAACAGTCAAAGTGAGCATAGGTCAGCGGTAATTGACATATATCTTCAATCAATTCGATCCTTCACCCCCACATGTCATTCTAAAAAAAATTGTAATAGGACACTTTGCTCACTAAATTTTTTGAAAATAGAGTTACGAATTTGTATGGATGATTTTTCATTTGGTATAAATTTTGTGTTAAAATTTTACAAATAAGTACAAGAACTAAAATAAATATTTTAAAATTACAAGGATTAAAATGAACAAAATTTGAAAATATAAGAATAAAAATGAACGCTTAAATGACTAAAGAAATAACTAAAGTTGGGTAGCGGAATGAACGTATTAGACAATTGGAAGAACTTTATTTTAAAAACAAAGAATTATTGAGTGGATGGTCTGTTCCATATGAATGTCTAGTTCAGATGTGATGTACAATTAATTCCTTTTCTTGTGGAGCTGAATCACTCTTATTTTCTGTATTACCACAACTCATTTCCTTCCTTTTCCCCCATAGAACACTGTAGAGGCTCAAAACCAGCAACATGGCGCCTATTATACTGTTCAACACAACAAAGAAAACACCAATTAAATTAAATAAAATTATAAACTTCAAACAATCAATGTAATGAAATCTTTCCATCATCTGATCCTAATTAAGTATTTACCTTCCCAAGCTAACTCCATCATTTAAGAGAAATTCTGAACCAATTAGTGTAAAAATGAGATTCAAGGGTGTGTTAACAGCTTGGAAAACTGGACCCTTCTTTTTGATGACCCAACTTGACAAAGAATTGGCAATGCAAATTACAAAAGTTCCCTGTCACAAAGTTTTAGACTTTTCACAAAATAATAAGCATTAAGAGATCAGAGAGAAATCTCATATATATATATTATCATCCATATTCCATACGCAATAAAGAACAGCAATGAGGCGAATGTTCCAACCCAGCTTCCATTGAGAAGGGTTTCTCTCCACCGCAATGGCCACAACAAATGACTGAATCGCACTTGACAAGGTTTGTACACACGTTAACACAAGTGGAGATGGGCAAGTCTTTAGAACCAAAGCCTGAAAATAAATATATATATACATATATTATAAATGGTATATACAGAAGTTGCATGGGTGAGTTAATTGATAAATTAATTACCTGGAGGACAATCCACAAACCCCATGAAATGCAAGAAACGAGAAGGAAAAAACAGCCAATAATCCATGTTTTGTGGGAAGAAAGATGAGATTTTTGGTGGGTTTGAAAAAGGTGATAGTTGAAGAGTGGCTTCATGTAAGGGCCTTTGTAAAATGCAAGTACTGCAACTCCTGCAATGCACAGCACTATGCCTCCAACCTTTGCCATCCCACTTGTTTTCCTTATGTTTACTTTCTCCATCCTATCAACACAACACAAGCAATTGCAATTGCAAACAAATATTCTCGACTCAAAGTATAATTTAGAACTATATAAATATGTGAGTCAAAAGTTGATCATTTGGGTGGTGAGTGTCATTTGCTTTAAAGAATTTTTTAAGGAAATAATAGAAAACTAGTAGTGCCTAAAAGAACCAATTATCTTAAGAAATTATTGCAGATTGAAAAAAAAAATGTCTCAATGAGTTGTTTTTTTTTTCTTCTTTTTTTTTTTTGGGAAAAAAATGAACTTAAAAAGAGGCCTGCCGGGATAAATAACATCTTTATATATTTTTATAATAGTATGATATTGTCCATTTTAAGCATAAACTAGTTTATAAAGTTTTACTTTTGATTTCGTAAAAAAAAAACATCATACAGTTGGATATGTCCTCATGTATATACCCATAATCTACATGGTTCACATTTTCAGCTATAAAAAATAAAAGAGAGAGCTTTTCCAATTGATTAGGAGAAGGTTATGGATTATAACCTTAAAATAAGAGCAAAGAGGAATGTGGTGACAGGGAGACAATTAAATGCTGCAGCACCTAAAGTTGCAGACGTATAATTAACACCTATCCCGTAAGTATTCAAAGCCAGCGTAAACCTGCACTTTTTTTTAAACAAGAAAATGATTCGTCAAAATGATCCTCGAAAAATCTCAAATTCAGAGCAGAAAAAAAAAAAAAAAGAACTAGGTAATTCTACAAACCCCAAACTGGCCTGCATGAAATTCTTCCACATCTCCCCTAGTGATAAACTTGTTACTTCTTTTCTACAATCCATGAAAAAGGAGAATTAATGAAATTAATGGGAGAGGAACAAACAATAATAAAGACAAATTCGATAACAATTTCGTTTTTTTGTTTCTTCGTTTTTAAAATTTTTTTCACTTTTCTTAAAAGCATATTTGAGTTCATAGTCAAATTTATAGTAATGACAATGTAAAGAAACACATATTTGAGTTCTTAGTCAAATTTATAGTAACGACAATGCAAAGAAACACACCGAGCAACAATAAATTAAATCAAAAGAAAAAGTAACCATGGTGAAAACGACGAAACGACGAAAGATAAGAAATAGCCAGAAATAATTGGTTAAGGAACCATGGTTAATTAACTCATTAGATACAATAAATTAAATCAAAAGAAAAAGTAATTAGTTATTAGTACCTTTTGAAAAATATGGTGAGAGGCAGTAAGAAGAGAGATCCAAAAGCTTGCCTGTAGAAAAGGAAAACATAAGTATTCATACCAGAAGCAAAAGCAGCTTTTGACAATAGACTCATCCCAGAAAAAATGATTTGGGAAACAATCGCAGCAAAATAAGGCCTCTTTGATTCCATATTTTGATGAAACCAAACAAAACTGATTTCCCTTTCCCTTCTGCTTAGGTAAAACCAACAAGGCCAAATGTTATAATGCTCATCACTCAATAAAATAGGCAAACAAGAGCATCTGCCCTTTTCGTTATATTTCAAATCCACTTTAACTCTCAGCCATTGAAAATAAAATATTCTATTCAGCAAAGAGAAGTGAAGCTTTGTGAGTGCTTCATTTATAAATGAAATAAGTCTTTAGTGGAATTTTTTTTTTTTTTTGGAAAGGGCGATAAATCATTCATTAAATAAAGCAAGTGAGAAACATACGAGAGAAGAAGGCTAAATAAACACACTCCAGTTCAAAGAGATGGTGGAAATTATTAATATTCATGAGGTTCCATCTCAAAACAAATTGACAATAAGAGGAGTAGTTTATATCTATGGATCCTTAGCCCCTCAAGATCGTGGCTCTTTTGGCTCATCGAACTTGGCTGGACTTTTTTTTGGACCAGATGCTCGTTTGAGTTTTTTGAACTGATACCATATTAATATTCATGGATTCCATCTCAAAATTAATTGATTTTGAGAAGGAGTAGTCCATGTCTATTAGGTACCTTATCTTTCCAAGGTGATGATTTTGTGAACTAGGAAAGTCAGCTGATTTGAAGTTTTTGGTGGAAGTTAAAAGGGGTTCCATTTTTTCAATATTATTACAAGAAACAACTTTTTATTCACTTATATAAGATGCATACATATATAAAAATGAGGCTTCATATAAAAGTACTCCAGGATAATATGGCGATATTATAATTAAAAAACAAAGTAGATTTTTGAACTAATTTGATGCAGATCAAACAATTTCTTCCATTACGAGCTAAAAAATTTGTCTATTCCTTTCAAGTAAAAAATACCAAATGATAGCTGCAACTACATTAAACTTTAAATTTGGCTTCGATGGGTTTGGTCCACAATCATTGTAGCCATTCTTCAATAAAAGCATCAACCTTTTGAGGTAACGGAATTTGTTGAGTGAAAGTATACATCAATCTATACGAAAGCTAAGATGCCAAAAAACATACCAAAAAATATGATTCAAAGATTCTGATTGAGCACTTCGCATTATTAGCGGACACCATTATACATGAAATTAAGGGTTCTTATGCAATACACATAGAAAATTATTTCAACAACACATATTTTATAATTTTGCACTGTGCCATATGAGCTGATGGAGAATCTATAAATCTATAAAAAGGCAAACAAAACAGCTTTTTTTTTTGGATCAAGAGTGGTAATATGCTTATTGACAGATAGTTGATAAACTAATGCATTTAATATTAAAAGTAGTGCAATTTAGAATGTCATGTTGTTTCCAGCTTGACGACTCCTTTTCTAAATTAAATCCCTATTATATTGTATTATTACAAGTGACTTGTTAGTTTAGAAGAAAAAAGAAAAGGTCCAACCTCGCAGAGCATACATATATAATGGCTTGTATTTATTAAGGATTTTCGTTTGAAATTGCAGATTTGATGCTTCAGGAAGGAAGCGATCTTACTGAAGTTCAATGGGTTGGCGATGGAGATTCATGGAGTAACTTCAATTACAAAGACTGGAACGGCTGCTAATAATAGCTACGCTCAATTTTTCTCTAATGAAGTACTTCTTTTATCAAAAAAAAAAAAAGAAAAAAAAGTTATCAATGTCCAAGATAAATAAAAGAACCCATCATAAAAATCATTTAAAACCTTATTCTAAAATTAAGCAACAAAAGGGGTGTTTATATCTTATTCTAAATCAAATAAATTTTCTCAAAATTTCAAATATATGGTGACATATTGTTTCATTTGTATGTGTGAGAAACTATGTGAAACCACTCAAATGGAAAGAAATAGTGAAAACATTATAATTAAAAGAAGGTGTGAACGATAAGAAACTTTGATTCTAGCCGGGAGTACAAATTTAAAGATTTAAAAAGAGAAACGAGAGCACTTCGGATTCGTTTGGTAATGTTCTTGTTTATGTTTTGGAACAAATTGAAAGTAGGAATAAGAAAAGAGAAACTAGTTTTGGTTGTTTCCAAAATTTTTTTTATAATTATGAGAATGTTCCCAAAAAAGGAGAAACAAGAAACAAAATTAGTTGAAAAATACTTAGATTTCTTAAAGAAAATTGGAAACGAGAATGTTACCAAATGAGCCCTTATTTGCTCAGCCAGAATCAAACTTTTCATCTATATCAGTGTGTGAACGTCTCTCTCAAGCAGTAGAAATGGGAGCACTTTCATTTAGCATCCTTATCTTTATATGTTTCTCGCATACCTTTTGAACGAATCACGTAGGTGTTTTCTTTTTTTATCTTTGAAAAAATAATTTTAGAAACTAAAATAAAATAAACATGCAAATCCGCCTTTAAATGAAAATAGGATTTAAACCTTAACCAAAACCCATAAATTTCGCATTCTTTTGTCATCTTTCACTTCACACATACACATCCATGAGAATTTAATTAGTTTCCCCCACAAACTCAAAACCAATAACACCGCACCTATTATACTGTTGAAACACAACAACAAACAACAAAAACTAACTTTATATAAAAAAAAAAAAAAAGTACCTAATCCCTGGGTTGAAAACTAAGAATTGATAGACATAAACTTATACGACTATTAGACGTAAGTGATAGATTAATAGATGTGATGCATGTGCAGGAAAATTGTGTTATATCATATCATTAGGCTTGTTTCTTCACAATTTCCTTTATATATCTTTCACATTTTTTAAAGGTATATTTGAATTATTAACCAAATTTCAAAAACAAAAAACAAATTTTTTAAAAGAAAGTTTGTAATAGGTGACAGATTTGCCATATTTCTAAATGTGACACAAGCTGAGGAATAAGATTTTTCAAGTATGACAATTGACAATTTTGTTGGGTAGGCGTTTATATCATTGATAGACGCGTATGTGTATCGTTGATATACACTAATAAACTTATATCACTATTAGACATAAGTGATAGACCATTTATAGGCTGATGGGGAGGAAAATTATGTTATATCTGCAAATCTTTTTAGCTTGGACTAAATTTCCTACTATTTTGGGCCAGATTATTATACATGCAACAACTCTTTTCAAAAAGTAGATATCAAATAAAAAAATATATAGATGAAAATAATGTTTACCTGCGGAGGCTAATTCCATCGTTTAAGAGAAACTGGGAGCCAATTAATGCCATAACCGGACTCAATGGTGTGGTAACAGCTTGAAAAACTGGACCCTTCTTCTTGATGACCCAGCATGATAGATAGTTTCCAATGCAGATCACAAAAATTCCCTGTAGTTAAGTCGTAGGCCATTATATTATTACAGTAGGTTTTGCAAAAAGAAATCGTAGAGAAGAGAGAAAGAAAGAGCTGGGAGATCCATATACGCAATAAAGAACAGCAATGAGGCGAATGTTCCAACCCAACTTCCATTTAGAAGGGTTTCTTTCCACTGCAATATATGGCCACAACAAATGACTGAAAACTGCTTGACAAGGTTTGTACACACGTTAACACAAGTGGAGATGTGCAACAAGTCTTTAGAACCAAAGCCTGAGAATGTGAATTAAGAAGAATGGCAGATATAGAAGTTGCAATTTGATGAGAAACTAATTTAAAGGATTGATTTTATTACCTGGAGGACAAACCAGAGACCAATTAAAATGGAGGCAGTGAGGAGCATAAAACAGCCAATATTCCATGTTTTGGTGGAAGAAAGATGAGATTTTTGGTGGGTTTGAAAAAGGTGATAATTGAAGATCAGTGGCTTCATATAAGCGGAGATGGGCAAGTCTTCACATATTTTTTATTTGCTTTGTGCCATATGAGCTAATAGAGAATCTAGCTACTAAATAATGTTATGATAAAAAATTAAAAAAAACCAAAGATCTAACTATGAAACAGTCCTTTATCTCCCCCAAAATTTATTTGTATAGGTACTTTCTCTTGATGAAATTTTATACTTGTTTTTTGTTATTCTACGAATAAAAGTAGTGGTAATATGCTTTTGATTGATACATAGTTGACAAACTAAATGCTTTTAATATTAAAAGTAGTGCAATCTTTAGAATGTCATGTTGTTTCCAGCTTGACGACTCCTTTTCCAATTACGAAGATTGGAAGGTCTGCTAATAGCTGTGCTCACGCAATTGCCCATAGAGCTTTTAAGTTCAGGAAGTTAGGAATTTTGACTCTTGTATTCCCCTTTAGCTGCACAATCTGGCTAAAAAAGGGACTTGATTTCTCTTTAATGAAG